TTGTCAATGTAACTTATTAGTTCAATGACAAAAAGCCCCATGTGGCGTGTTTTACAGTGCTCAGACATCTTTACATCTACTTTTGATTTAGGTCCCAAGTGAAGACTGACAGGTTCTAATTCAAGTCCTAAACTTTGAGTTTTGAGTCCTAAACAAGTCATAGTACGCTCTTCACCAAATGTAATGCCATTTTAACAACAGAGACAAATTTTTGGATGTTCTCTGCGTGTCAGTGTGGGTTTTCTCCGGATACTCCATCTTCCTCCCAAAGTCCAAGGACATGAAGGTTGGGGATAGGTTAATGGGTGACTCTAAATTGGCCGTAAGTGTGAGTGGTTGTCTGTCTCTGTGTGTCAGCCCTGCGATAGTCTGGTGACCTGGGTGTACAGGGTGTACCCCGCCTCTCGCCCAATGTCAGCTGAGATAGGCTCCAGCCCCCCTGCGACCCCCAAGGGGATAATGGGTTACGGAAAATGAATGAATGAATGAATGAATGATTAAAACCAGATTGTTGGAAGTTGTTGCGTCTCCATCTCTAATTTTTGCCCTGCACATTTTGTATATCACCTAAATGTGGAGTCAACTTCTCATGGTTCTGTCCTGCAGCTTCACTGGATGCTTGAATTGGGGGAAAAAAGTGGATCTGGGAAATTATGTTTTGACTTTATGTTAGCTGATTCAGGAAATGAAGGGAAATGAATTGATTCATGGCACTCTTTATATAACGTACTTTTAAATCTTTGGGTTTGGAGGGAGGTATCAAGTGTTTTCAAGCCAAAAGGCTCAGGCCCAGGTGAAGTAACGAGTCACTGGTGTTAAAGTTCAAGCCCAGTTTCAAGTCTTTTTTGTGTCAAGTCGAGTATAAAGTCATCAAATGTGTGCGACAGGAGTCCAAGTGATGTAATTCAAGACTTCTGCTACTTTCAAAATGGACATTTAAACGTGCAAGTAGTCTTACCTGATCAAGTATCCTGATGATGGTGCTCTAAATTCAAAACAGAGAGGCGTTATCAGCACAATCATGTTTTCTGGAAGCTCTCCAAGTGCTCAGTAGATAACTCCAACATAAGAAACCTGTGTTTACCTTTCAGGGACAGGTTTAGTGGGTGGCGGAGTGGATTTTGTAGGTGACGACACCGGACTGGTCTCAATGGGGGCTCCGTTCTCTCGGCCAGCCCTCACTTCTGCTAGCCTGCATGGGTTCACAGGAACTCAGTTTTGTCTGTTCAAGTGACTGAGTAATGGATATTAGACAGAACATGATTTAAACATTTTGCTTACCATGGCTTCTCCTCGCTGGTTTTAGCATTCTCATCACTGCTACGCCGCTGCAACCAGCTGCCATCATCCCTCAGCCTGGTCCTCACTTTGGTGGTACGAAACACACTTTCTTTGTCCCCCTCTGAGACACAAACACGTGCACGTCACATACCCACACACCATCTGAGACATTACACACACTGTGGGCTGCATCATAATGACATCTTAATCACCGCCTGCTTGATGGCATGCGAGAGATTCAGTCCCCTTTGGGCCGACACATAATCAACCACTTGTGTTTTGCATTAAATCAGGGCAATAACGAGAAGATCAGAATTTACAGAGTCATCAGCCGGGCGCACAGACACGCCCTTGGATGCACTCTGCTTTTATTGGAGGAAACAAGTCATCTCACATTCAGATCACATCAGTCAGCCTGCTCACCTTTCGACATGCTTGTTCTCGAGGATTTTCTGTCTTCCTTGTTCTGTTATCTTTACAGACCACCTGAAAAACACATTGGAGCCACATCGAGACGGAGATTGTGTTAAAAGTAAGCGTGCAATTTCCAGCAAATTGTAATTTATTATGACAGTGGTAGCCAACCTTTTTCCTGAGGGGAGCCATTTTCTGTCACTGAGTGAACTGACGACCCCTGACTAAGCGACACATGTTTTGGATGCTTCATATTATATTCAATGCATGACAATAACAGCAACTAATAAACCGTGCGATTAAGCCAAAGAGTGAACACAATAACTGCAGGAAGTTTGTGTAAAACAAGCAATTTGGATGAGTTTTAGGCACATTATTACTGTGAACACTGCAGCAGAGATGACTTTTCTTTTATTTGGTTCTTTCTTGTCATCGATGCTTAGACATTGTTCTATTATCTATTTGGTTGTTTTAACTTGGTGCTTTTCTGATGAAGGACACGGCTTTTTAGCAGAGACGGAAGGCTGTGTGATTAAAACTTGGGGTCAGGTCTTCACTGCACTCTTATCCTCTAAGATTCTATGAGAAATTTTTTATCTTGAATAACAATCTAAACTTTAAAAATAACAATTTCATTTGAGGTGTTAGTTTCTTTTGCTTTACTTCCTTTTTACTAGTCTCTTTTTTGTGTAATTTGTGTTTTCTCTGTGTAACTATGTGCTTTGTTTGCCGTATGTCTTGGTGAGATCTCCCTTGAAAAAGAGGTTCTTAAAACAGTGGGATTCTCGTGGTTAAATGAGGTTAAGGAAAACAGAAATTAACAAAATGAAAAGTTTTCATTCTGTATTTTTATAAGAGATTTTTTAACAACATTTAAAATCAAGAAGGCCTCATGACCCCATGAAGCTTGGGTTGGGAGCCCCAGCTTTGGAACCAGTGTAATGTGACACAGTCCAGTTTCAAAATGGTCCTTCCCACGCCATGTTCCCTCCCACTGAAGAACATGTGCTCTGTTAAGCATTCCTCGGGCTCATCCTTTAGACATGCAGCTGATCCTGTCCTACCACTTTCCCAAAAAAAATACTGCTGTTGCCTAAATATGAATGGACTCCCACACATTTATGTATCTGATCCTTTGTGTTTAGACACAAACTAAACTCGCACGGAATGATTGGTGTGATTGGGTAAATATTGCTTCCTTTCACACATATCCAAATAAGTTGACCTCTGAGTTATTTACAGTCAAAAATGACCTGCTTAGAGGGACACCCACCTCCCCGGGGCGCTAAGGAAGAAAAGGAAAATACTAATAAAACATCAACGAGTGTTCCCTTATCAACACAGACACGGACTGCTGCTTATGCAAAATGTTAAAGCCAAATTCAGAATGCAAATAGAACTTGTGAAACTCCCGAGGCTCTGAATGAACTCCACAATATCTCTTGAGGATATTATCCTCAGCGTTAGTGACAGAACAAACACACCGAGGGCTCAGAAAGCATATTTATCCTGGGTTTAGCACATCCGTCCACACTGGATAAATGATTGATGAAGAGCAATAGCGTATAAGACAAGCAAGGAGTGAGAGAGACAACTCCACTGACAGGTAATCATGACAGGGAAACACCCAGAAAATATGAGAGAGCAAACACTGATAATCACCTGCTGAATATTTCAACAAACACTTTATGTAACGTAATGTACTGCTTTTACAGTTTTGGCTTCTTACAGCTGCTGATTATTTAACGCTCTACATTCAGAATCTACACAGATACTTTGAATCATGTTAATTATACACCTGCCAGCCAGAGTACTTACCTGCTTTCACTTATATCCAGCAGAGACACGTTCACCCAGCTGAGTGGAGTCTGTGACCAGTGAGCGCAGAGGGAAAGTTTGTCTCTGTCTGACAGGTGTCTCGCTCCCTGTGCTAGTGAACAGGTACGGGCGTGAGCACTGACAAGCCCAGCCAGTCAAGGAAGGTAGGTGTGGGGTGGAGCAGTGTGTTTGTCTATCCTTTTCTGTGTGTGCGTGTGTGTGTGCGTGTGCGTAGCAGAGGTTGCTAAGAACTCAATTTTGTTTACTTCATCTCGCGCTTTGTTCATGGGAGTCGGCAAGCACATACCTGTCGTACAGGTGGCTGACAATCAATTCCAGGGACGAGCGAGGCAAAGGGAAGAGGGCGACGACGACAAGGTGCACAGCATGGCAAACATAAAAGAAGTGAATCGCAGCAACATCTCCTGTGGGAACGCTCCTCTCATGCTCAGTGGGTAGGAAAACCCAGGAAGCACACACATCATTATAATGAGATCAAGAACAACACACACGACTGAACTGAGACAACAAACAGAAACAGTGGCCCACACGTCAATAAAAATAACATAAAAGCTAATCTTATTTGGTATGTATTGAATTCTAATTTTATATTTGAAACAAAAACAGCACTTTCTTTTGTGTATGTACAAAGAAAACTGAAACCAGCACTTTGAAAATCTAATTTCTTTCATAATCAGTCCTGTAAAAGTCAATTATGACTTAGAGAAACATTGTTCAGTGTATGTTCTAAGTAGGAAGGCAGGAAAATCCACCAATTGTCAAACAAAATGTTTGATCAATGTGAGTGACTGTGTCTATGTTTGTATAAGTGAACGACAAAAAAATGATGAGTCTATGCTCCTGCAATTGTCCAACAATTTCTTGAACAAATTGCAACAAAAAGCACTTTCTGAACGACTGGCCACAGTATGCACTCTGCGAAAACACAACACGGAGATCAGCCGACCATTGTTTCAGCACCAAAAGCAATCTCACACATGCTGTGCATACATTTACAAAGTCTTTTCAAATCAGAAAAAGGGTGTGAATAGATTTCGCAACTATCAGAGGGAGGGGGTGGAAGAGGAAATTAGCAAGTCTGAGAGCCAAAGTTTCACTCTGGTGAGCACACTGGCGAGTGTAAACTCTTGAGTCTATTATCTACCTGCTGGATCCTTCTCCCTCTTTCCCCTGAACAAGAAACCAGTCAGACGGCCTTGCTCGGTGACGCTGACTCAAGCATTGAATCATTAAGGTGCTGCTGGCGCAGAATTAAAACGAGAATGCAAAGTATCTCAACTTAACCCCCACCTTGTAGTCACCACACCAAAACACGGAATGACAAAAATGCTTCACCTAGAAAAGGCCCAATCTTTTTGACAACTGATTTATACATTCCACATGAATACTGTGAAAAAGAGACAATCTGCTGTTTACAAGCTCGTCAGTTTTACAACTTTGTCATCAACAAAATGACAGACAGCATGTGGAACTAGAAGGGTAATTATATTTCATGATGCATTTTCATAGCCCATCCCATTATTGTATTTGATGACAGCCCATGAATAGTATTTTAACAGTTTGCGCAACTCATAGAAACTCATGCCATCCTGATGATATATAGTATCTAATTCCAGAGATACCTCAGTATCAGAAAGATGGTAAAACCGGAACATCTGAAAACTGTGTGTGAATTATGCACATACGGAAATACATTATATGGCCATAAGTATGTGGACACACACTACTCCGATGTACACACTGAAATGGATATTGATCGCTGTAATCACCCCCCTTTTGATATTATAGATAGTTCATGTTGTGTGGAAAATGCCTTCTTTAGTTTAGCCTAAGCTAACATGAGACGTCAGTGATCTGATTTTGTCATATCAAGTGGGTATCATTCAGTGTTTTTAGGAGTGTTTCCTTGTTTTAGCTATGACAGAGGGACAGTTTCACAGCTAGGGAATTGTGTGCATGTACACAGTAAGTTTGGAAGATACCTATTGGTCTCATTCTGCTAAAGCCCAGGTATTAGCCTTGGATGAACTTTGAAATGCTTTTTTCACATATCAAAGACTGTGGTTTGTGCCCCATTTCTGCATTGGAATCTCATAAGGAAGCGACCCTTTCATGGCCAGTACGGACAGGAGAAACAAGTACAGCAGTCAAAAACTGTTTCCATGTACATATTGTAATGTTTTAGGTCAGACTTGAAAAAAATGTGAACATACACTCTAAACCTTGGGCAGTAATATACTGCTATGTGTTGCAGCCTCCACTGGTGAAAAGGCCTGCCTCGTAGTCGCTATTCTTATTCACCCGAAAGCTGCTGGATGTGGATGAGGTCAGGGCTTTGTACAGGGCAGGAAATTTCTTCCACACAAAGCCCAGAAAACAATTTCTTTACGCATGTGGCGTTGTGCACATGGGTATTATTCTGTTGTAACACGAAAAGGCCAATCCTAAACTGTTGCTATAAGTTGGAAGCACATTATTGTCTACAGTGTCAGCATATGTAGCTTAATTCAAACCAAGAAGCGTATCCCAAACTTAATAAAACCACCCCAGACCAAAAACCACATCCCTGTCCACATACTTTTGACCTTTATACAGTTATTTTCACATCAGCAATGTCATGAGAATCATAGTTTAGTGGAATGTATTTATGTGTTTTGACATAAACAGCAGCATCTCAGTGTTTGCACAGCACACTGGTGAAACACATGAAAATGGAACAAGTATATCTGTAAGTCTTTGCAAGTTTCACAGTGTAAGATCAGTATATTTATGTTGTCATAAACATGGGGTTTCACTGTTTATCAAGTGCTTTAAAGCTTAAGACAAGACCAGACTGCAGTGTGTTGACCAAAACCAAAACCGTTTGCTGCCATCTGCTGGTGAGAGTGGCACATAAGTGTTAAAAAAAGTACACAAATACTACAGTGTTTGAATAAAGATAAACTGTCTCCCTTGTTTTGAACTGTCCATTCAGGATGACCTGATCACTTTAATCTCAGTGAGTGTACCTGTACAGTCTTCACCTTTAGTTCTATCATCAAGCTCCTTGTCTGAGGTGAGGGTAGCTCTGCACTGTGCGTGCTATCCCATCCTTCAGACTGACCAGCGGTTTGTAGCCCAGGTCCTGCTTGGCCCGGTCACAGCTGTAGTAGTGGTGGGTTCCAGCCAGAGCCACTCTCATTGGTGTAAAGGTGGGTTTAAAGGACACCAGAGGGCGCAGGATCAGGGCCAGCAGCCAGAGGAGCAGGGCCAGTCCGTACACAAGAGTGTAGGGGAGGTGGTAGCGAGGAGCAGCATATCCTAGACCCACCAACACCTCAGACATGAAGTCCCAGAATCTAACCGGCTCGTCATTGGTGATGTGATACGGCTGATTGGGAAGCAGAGGATACAAGATGTATTAACTTGAAATTCAGTTTGCAAAGCATTCACAAATGAAAACTCAGATCTCAGATAACTAGGTGTGTGACTGGCAACATGATTTCACAGACAGAATAAATTAAACCGGCTCTGTTTTAGATTTTATTCTCACTCACTTTTCCACATATGGGGGAGTCCGGCCTCAGGCGCTCAGCAGCCAGGATGTGACCATGAACTACATTCTCCACAAAGGTGAAATCCACCAGATTGGTCCCGTCACTGCAGGAAAGAAAAACAGAGTATTAACTACAGAAATATACCGATAAGCACTAAAAAACCTGAGAATTAAAGCACTTAATCATTTAGCACACCGGTACAGCAGTCTGGGCTGAGGCACTGCCTCCATACTAATTTCAACTTTTCAAGTGGCAGGGGAGTCGTGGGTGAGCCAGTGAGTGAGTGAGAGTGGATAGGTAGGTTTTACAGATAATTAAATTCCAGAATCTAATATTTTTGACTAAAGTGTAAGAACATGAAAACATGCACATCTGATGAGAAGTGTATTCAGGTCAAACAAGTCAGCAGCAGTTGCAGCAACTTTTGAAAACTGATGCTGTTGTTGCCTCCCAGATGGTTGATAAATTATGTCAGCTTTGCAAGTTTACACACTGCACCTTGTATGATGCTGTGTATTTATATTTAGGAAGCCAAATTGAGCCCCTACATTACAGTTCCGGTTTGGAAGAGCACTAACACTCTCTTTGTCATTCTTAAATATGAAATGCAGATTAAACTAGTTTCATTGGCACTGACTGTTAAAGCCCTATGACCTACCCGATGATGAACTTCATCTTGCCCCTGCGAGCTGTGTCCACCAGGATGGGTACCAGCTGTGGATCCCGAGGGCCAAAGATGCCATGAGGCCGAATGGCAACTGTGAGGAAACCCTTCTCCTTGTTACAAGCCTGGAGGACCAGCTGAAACACAAAGACATGATGAAATATTCAACTCTGCATGCTGTAAAACAGAGTGATCATCTGCCTTCTTCTCTCTCGTGGGCAAAACTAATTGTGAAGGGCACAGAGCAGATGGCATGCGAAGAACAGAAAAAGTCCTGGAAAGCTGTACTCACTACTGCTGGAGGTGATGTTGTTGCATGATGATAATAAAAATAAATAAGTGTAGAAAATGAAATTTTATACTGATCTCATCTTGAGGAAGGAGGATTTCCAAAAACTATTAGTTTGAAGGATTTAGGATGATACACTGGCAGAAATGGAATACAATATAATAAATACATTTTCTTTCTTTACTGTATAATCGCCTGAAAATAAGAATCGTGTTTTCATTTCCCTAGAGGGAGCCATTTATATCTACAGAGGGAGTGGGCCCTCGTATATTGAAATTGCCTTGTTGCACCGCTATGTTTCTACAGTAGCCCAGAATGAGAATGTCGGAAAAACACAGATTTTAAAACATGAAACTGATTTATTTGGTGTTTTTGCTGGTTTAAATCACTGGGCCCATTTTTTTTGGAGAGAAAGAGACCTCTGCGGATCATTCGGCTTATAGTCAAAAACCTCCTGAACACCTGAGGCCGTATTCACAAACAGAAAAGTTCTCACAGCAACTCTGAGCAAGAAAGGGACAGAAACTTTCACCTTAGTGAGGAGGTGCAGTTGACCCCAATGCTAGGTATGATTCATTCTTTTAACAGGTGTGATTGGTTGTCAGAGACACAACCCTTTGTGAGACTGCATGGTGTGGACACCCAGTGGAAATTAAATGAACTGCTGACTGTGAAAGTGTTGTCATTGTTAGTGTGATCACTCTGCTGATGGAAGGTTTAGATAGTCATCACTTCTGCACTGTTGCATTTTCCTAGTTTTTTTTAAATGTCTTACTATTGAAATAATTTTATTTCTGATGTTATAGCATTGGGTGGGAGATGTGTGCGTAACCCTAGTGAGGTCAACCACAAATATTCTTCGTGCACAATCTAATCTGTAGCATTTCATTAACTCACTGTCATCCAGCATTTGAAGAGTATTTCTCCAACTCATTTGTGTTTCCACCTTTTTTCCCTCTGCTTAAGAAACTCTTAAACCTCTCAAAAGTCCTCCCTGCTGCTAATGGTTTTTCACCGTAGGAGCTCTTTTAGAGTCTAAATTGCTTTGTGAATAACTTTTATCTTCACAAGGACCTACTCTTAAAGGTAGGATCTGGAGGATTTTCAAACAAAACAAAATATAGACATACACAAATGAAATCCCGCTTCTACTCATGTGTGGTGGTGACTCTGTTTGCAGAGCTCCTGCCCATTAACTGTATTTTGATGTTTTTGTGACCTTGGACCGCTTCTGGGCGGAGATTTTCCCAGCCAATGAGAAAGCACAGGTGCCGTGCCCGAGCGTGTCCGAGCGTGCACCAGCGCGAACCTTGCCTGAACCTCTTCTGTGAAGCCTTCTTCCGTACCTCCGGGCTCCGTACACCCGGGAGAGTTGAGCTTGATAGGAGGGGCCGAATTTGAATGTGTGTTTACAAACAGCAACTGGAAAATCCTCCAGACCCTACCTTTAACTTTAAGGAGACGTTCTGGGAAAACGTCGCAATTCTAATAATTTTCTTAGAATTTTATCATAACTCTTAGCGCTAAGAAGCTTTGTGAATACAGCCCCTGGGTCTTAAGTTATCAGAGGAACTAGACGAGCACACATCAGCAGGTGACCATCTCCGTCGAGCTGAACAGCATCAGAGAAACACTGATTTGTTAAGTGTGTAAGAGCCACTTAAGCACATATTCATATTTGGTAAAGACTTCTGTGTTGATATGACAAATCATATAGGTTCTGCTATTATTAAGTTTGGAAACTGTTTCTGTATATTTTAAATAGTTTATGGTAGTGGACTATACTAAGGTTATGGTTATATTTACTTTGTGTGTGTGTTAGAATATAGGCACAAGTTATTTATGCCAGGTATGGTGCCGTAAGGCAGTTTAGTGCGCATGACAAAAGGAGACTGTGGACAATGTTATGTGTAAAAGATGACATGAAGTCTGTGTTGGTTTGGATCACAATAAGTTTTTGACCCTGTTATGCAGTGTATAGAAATAGGATAGAGTCAGTGGTGGACCATAACATGTAATTCTGGAAGGACTTGGCCTGTCATTTTGTTTCTTTTCTGTAGTCTTAATAAACCTCGTTCAACTTTTTCCCTCCCTGAGTACTGTGGACCTCATAAAAGCAAGACATCTCACAGACTAATTGGCCTAGGAATTTTGGTATATTGAATCGGCCACTACAACGTGAAACTGCTTTATTCAATGTTTTTGCCAGTTTAAAATCACTGGTCCCTTTGTTTGGGAGAAGAGGACACCTCTGCAGATAATTTGGCTCTCAGTAAAAAAGCTCCTGAACCATGAGCACTGAAGGAATTCTAACCAGGAGAAGTTTCAGCTGGTTGCAATCTGCAATCCTCACCTCTAGATGGCACTAGATCCCCGTAAATCTTACACGCTGTCCCTTTAAACCATTGATTCACTAAAATAACCTTTTCACTACCTATTCAAATCAAGAGAAGCTTAACTTTTGCTAGTATCACAGAGCTAACACAGACACTCAAAACTATAGCTATGTGCCATTTAGAGCCTCCATTTCAAACCGGGCTACACTGATGAAACCAATTTCAAACATACCACTTTCCTACCTTTTCTTGCTCAATTTTGGTCTCTGTGTAATAGTCGATGGGCTTCTTGGCATATGGTAGATCTTCTCTCCCATTCTTAACGTCTGTCCCTTCAAACACCACACTGGCACTGCTTGTCAGGACCAGTTTCTGCCAAAAAAAAGGACCAGTTGAATCACTTCAATTACATCTTTCATCCTTAAACAGTAAACCACAGGCATAAACAAAAAGAAAAGCACAGCTTACATTCCCTCTCACCACTGCCTCACCTGTACTCCAGCCTCCATGCAGGCCTCGATGACTGTGCGTGTGCCCTGAATGTTGACCCTCTCAAACAGCCCGCGGTCATCGCTGGCAGGGGCTGGGGAGGCACAGTGGAAGACCAGGGACACATCTTTCATAGCCGGCAGCAGAGCCTGGAGCAGAATGTGACAGACACATCTCTCAGCTATTGACAAGTGGTCCAGGTCAGAGGACCTCTGGGGCAAGTCTCAAGTGCTGAGTGGCAAAGTGCAAGTCAACTGCGAGTGCTTCAGGTCTCTAAAATAACATGTATTTGAACAGTTTCCTGCCAGTGCAGTGTCAAGTCCTTTAAATGCACAGGCCTGATCATTCAGCATCAAGGTGTTTGGTCGTGACGGTCCAGACTGAGAGGAGTAGTCTCACCTGTTTGTCGCAGAGGTCTCCCTGGTGGAAGGTGACACCAGGCAGCTCGTAGCTCTGACGGATGTCAAACACACACACAGTGTATCCTCGCTCCAGCAGCTTCTCCACCAAGTGTCTGCCCAGGAAACCAGAGCCCCCGACAACTGCACACCGTTTACTACTCTGTGAGACACACAGAAAGCTTTTACTTATACATTTCAAGCTAACAAATAGCATTAGCATCGTGTTTAAGCACCATGAAAATGTCTCAACTCACCGGTCGCACGCGCGTGGCCATTATGAGTGAAAGGTGACCAACAGGTGAGCGAAAGTATCAGGCTGAAAATATTTCTCCTTACAGCTGAAATACTACGTAACAAAGAGTTAAAATACACCGGACATCAAGGAGTCAACTTTCTATATAAGCTGCAAACGACACTCTATTCTCTATTCCATTTACCTGCAGTCAGCGCGTGCAACTAAACTCCGCGCACGAACCACGACTTGAATCAGCTGAGTGACAAGTGCTTTGTGATTGGTCGAGCACAGGCTCAGCACAAAGGTGACGTTTGAGATTAGCCAATGGTGTTGAAGATACGTCAAAGAACGCCATACTTTAAACCAATCATGGAGCACAAAGTGATTACATCCGCCTCCGAGCTCAGAGACCACGCCCCTATTTGCGTCAGACCAACGACTCAGAGAGGAGAAGTGGGACAGATGTGAATTTGATCTACAGATTGTATCCAATAAAACATTTCTTTAAAAAGTTAAAGAGTGACGTAGATGCAAGATGAAAATCTCTTATTGTGGATTACATCCTGAAACTTGTTCCCATTTATTTTGGTCTTGTGATTTTAAATATGTGCTGTGGAAAGATATTAAATTTATAGTTGACAACATTCATTTTACTATGTACTAGCTATAGAATATTTTTAGGCGCTACGTTTAATGTGACAAAGATACTCATTTAGTTTTCCTTTTTAATCTAATTTTACGTCTTGCCAAATTTCACATTCACAAATTTACGGACACAAAACCCTCAATCCATTGTATTTGTGAAAAAAAATGGAACAATACTTAACAATGTTTCTTCCTTACAAAACAAAAAGGCTATCATAAAAATTAATGTATGCACTATCTTCAAAATCAAGTGAATCTTTTGTCACAAGTCACTCAAGTCTTTATTTTTTACTGTCATTTATGTTAGATTTGCTTTTGTTGTCTTGTTCTGTTTGGTACTGTTTTTAGTTTTGTTTTCTCAGTGCTTCATTTGTAGGCCTATGTGTGTGTGTGTGATTCTGTTTACGCTATGTATCTGCTCACATTGCATGTTAAAAGTTTAATATGAAGATCATGTATTTATTCATTTATTTACTTATCATTTATTACCTTCACTTCAATACAGATATTTTTCGAGAATGCTTTTCTCTTCTCTAGGCATTTTGTTTTGTTCTAACATTTGTTTGTTTTGCCTCATGTATTATTGAATAAATAACAAAAGTAAAAACATAGAGACACATTAAATTGATGTCCATATAGCTGCCAAATGCTGGTTGATTTCTGTCTAATACACAGTTCCTTCAATTAGCAAAAGTATTAATACCACACTGTTAAAGTATTCTGTTACAAGAAAAAGTCCTGCATGCAAAATGTTAGACTACTTTGGCAAAGTAGCCTATGGCCCAGCTAAAATCAGGAAAATGTACTTAAATTAGCCTATTAAAAGTAAATGCAGAAAATGTCCCTTGTGAGTGTTTTATAATTTATGATTTTTTATTTTATTTTATTTTTATTTAATTTTTATATACTTTATTAATCCCCCTGAGGGGAAATTCAATTTTTTCACTCTTTTTGTCATTAACACACAGGTCCGAAAGACACACACATGCACAAACAGGACCTAAACATGCACAAAGTGGAGAGATTTCAGAGTGAGGCGCCCTGAGCGGTTGGGGGGTTCGGTGCCTTGCTCAAGGGCACCTCGGGAGTGCCCGGACGGAGACTTGAACAAGTGACCCTAAGGTTCCCAACGCAAGTCCCTATGGACTGAGCTACTGCCGCCCCACATGATAACATCAGTATTACTCATGTAATAGTTAATTGAACTCAATTTGAACTATTTGTATCAGACTGCAGCCAGTGATTGCTTTCAGTATGGATTAATCTGCTGATTATTTTGTCAGTTTATTGATTGACTTTTCTGGTTTGAAAAATAGTGAGGAATGTCAATCACAAGTTTTCAGATATCTTAATGTTAATAGTGATGAGTCACTGTAGCTATCAAATAAATAAAAAGTCAAAAGTACAATATGTCCCTCTGAAGTATAGTGTAGCATAAAGTAGCATAGGACAAGAACTGTAGCAAAGTATAAGTACCTCAAGTTTCTGCTTAAATAAGTAATTATAATGACAGTAGTCTACTTAATTACATTTCACCACTGCTGATAGAATAGTTGAAATTATGGAGCTACTCAGAATCAGAATCTAAATCAGAAATACTTTATTGATCCTTGAGGGAAAACTGTGAATCGTTACAGTTGCTACGATGTAAAGAATAGAGAAATATAAGAAGTAAGAATAAGAGTATGAAATATAGAGTATGTAAATACAGAACAATAAAATAAAATAAAATAAAATAAAATAATTTATAATAAAATTGACATGAAAATGTACATTAAATTAAAAAAGTGCATTAATACTAGTACTTACTAGATACAAGAATATTAAAACTAAAATATATACATATATAGTCATTGTCGTGAGGCTGTAGGAAGGAGAAACATACACTAAAGTGAAAAAATAATAGCAAAAGTAAAAGACTGCTAACATATTTGAGACAGACATATTTATACGTAATGCTGTTTTGTAGACCCTTACAGCAGTAATATGCTTTATTCAGAGGTGACAATCTGCCCCTCTAGTCATATAGAGACCTGTTGGCTGCACACAGGCAATATCTGGGGCCTGTAATATCTCCATGACATTATTATTATCTTATTATAATTATAATTCTCCCTTAATTGTTTTTTTTATAATTGGATATTCCCCATTATCTCATTATTCTCTACATTATTGTAGTCTTCCTGACTATTGAAAAAAGCTGCTGACACTAGAGGGTGTATTGAGGCAATTTCACAGAGTAGCACAAACAAATGCACCATTTGTAGTAGTATGTAATGCAGTATGTAATATGATATACTTTGCATGTAAATATAAACAGAAAATCTCAATTCTTCATTTACTGTTCCAGTGTTTTATATTTCTATGGGAAATCAAAGGAGTCGTCACTGCAGTCCGAATGTTCAGATCGTGCCTTGTACCACGTGATCTTCAGCCACCAATCAGCTTTTTGCCCGACTGGTGCGTTTGATGTTAACTCCCTCTCGTGCCTGTCCGTTACCTGCTTTAACTCCTCACTGGTTATTACAGAAGTGGCTTGTCTGCGGGCACAGAAGGTGCAGAAACCAAACGCCTGGGCTCCATGACGGCAGCTCCTGGACAGCAGAACCTGTGCATGTTCCTCGCCTGAAACGTTATTTTTCTGCACATTGTAGCAGCTGTTCCTGCGGAATAAATACAAGGTTTTAAGGAATAGGAGACCATCTTACATTCAGGGTAATAAAACAGCTAATGCGAGCAACTGATGTAAAGTATAAACCGTTTTATCAGCTCCTCCTCCCTAAATGACAGGGAGGCTTCACAGCCCAGAGGAAGACGTAGATTGGCTCATAGATCTGCAGCTCGTTTGTGTCAGTCAAATAAGCAGCAACTGATGGTGAGTAAATATGTTTCATAATAATCTAAATATGTGTTAAGTGTATTGCATTTTAATCACAAGTGATGGATGTGTATTCTTCCTGTATAGGTCTGGGGTTTGCCAATTTGACCCCAGAAACCTGTGATGCTCGTAATCATAGATGTTATGGCTCTTGTGCCTGAGATTTATTCCCCTGTGTCCCCATCAGGCGACCAGTGCGAAGAGACCATCCCTGCAGGGTCCTATCCCCCCTCCCCGCAAGAAGACGAGCCCCAAACCAGAGCTGACCGAGGAGCAGAAGCAGGAGATCCGGGAGGCGTTTGAGCTGTTTGACACTGATGGATCTGGATTCATAGATGTCAAGGAGCTGAAGGTAAAAGAGCCTAAATGCTGATCCCAATCACACATGTAACAGGGAGGGACGATTGTTTTCTGTGGGTGCTTCACTCTCACACCTTTCTCACACTTGCAGGTTGCCATGAGAGCTCTGGGGTTTGAACCAAAGAAGGAGGAGATCAAGAAGATGATTGGTGACGTGGATAAGGATGGCACAGGGAAGATCTCCTTCGCTGACTTTCTCGCTGTCATGACACAGAAAATGGTAGATATTCATTTTAAACACATTCAGTACATTATATATGCATTCCCATTAGCAACTGGTTTTGTCCTACAGATTACAGTATATTGATTAGAGAGCCCACAACCTTAAAGGGACAGTTCATCCCAAAATCAGAATACATGTTTCTTCCTCTTTCCTGTAGTGCTCTTTATTAATCTAGATTGCTTTGGTGTGAGTTGCAGAGTGTTGGAGACATCGGCCGTAGAGATGTCTGCCTTCTCTTGAATATAATGGAACTAGATGGCACTCGGCTTGTGGCGCTCAAAGTGCCAAAAAATACATTTCAAAAACTTGACAGCAATGTCTCTTTCCTGAAATCACGACCTGGTTACTCAAGATAATCCACAGACCTTGTTGTGCGCAGTTTCGTGTATTTTCTTTCGACTGAACTACACCTGCCAACTGTATCACCATGCTGAAGGAAGCGTGCATCTACTCATGGACAAGAGGTTCGGGATTACAGCTTGAGATGTAAAAAAAAATGGCGCCCTCCTCAGCTGAGCTGCAACGTTAGCTAGCCAAGTGGTGCTAGGTAAGCTAGCAGTAGATGCACACTTCCTTCTGTGCAGTGAAATGATTGGCAGATGTAGTACAGTAGGAGGAAAATAGTTCATCATCTCTACAGCAGATATCTCCAATGCTTGGCAACTCACACCAAAACAATCTAGACAGTGGCATAAGGAAGTGACGACGGGCTCCAGTGCAGGCTATCATGTATGTATTGTCTTCTTGACACAAAGACTTGACAGCAACATCAACATACAAACCATCATGGCATATCTGACAAAAATGTCAAAGATAATTAATCATTTAACTGAATAGTTTTTGTAGTTTATTTCTAGATATTCTAACGTATGTAGAAAAGCATATAATTTTGTTTTGGATAGCTACTGAATAAAATAAGTAATCCATGATGGAGATAGGTTTGCCTTTTTGAAAATATATATAGCAAATGGCACTGTTGTTAAATTAGGAACATTCTCTTTTTTTTCATTCCTCTTTGAACACAGGTGGCACATTCAAGGTGGCAATCTGAATCACTTGCAAGAGCCCACTCTCGGGCCCCTCCACCCCCTTGGGCCCCAGTGCAGTTGCAAGGGGGGCAAATCTAGATTGATAAATAGCACTACAGGGTGAACTGTCTCTTTACTCCACCCTATCGGTCTTGTGTAGATCTCCGATTGACTGTACTAGTACGGCTTTTCATTTGCACTCTCAATTTTTGGAGTTTATGATGTGGATGCCTTCTGCAGAATGGCAGTGTGTGGTACTCTCCATTGTCTCTGATTTCAGGCTGAGAAGGACTCTAAAGAGGAGATCCTGAAAGCTTTCCGCCTATTCGATGACGATGAGACGGGCAGGATCTCATTCAAGAATCTTAAGAGAGTAGCCAAAGAGCTGGGAGAGAACCTCACAGATGAAGAGCTGCAGGTAAATCACATCATCTCATAATAAAACAATACTTAGATATACGCACACTCATACTCAACTCTGTAACTAACAGGCCGGTCGTGTTTACGAGGTCATGACTGCAGTTTTGAATCATGCAAATGCAACATTTGCTCACCAATGCTATCAAACTAGTTTGATTTGCATCCTCTATTCTTCTTTTCATCGACATTTCTATTGTGTGTGTGTCTGAAGGAGATGATAGATGAAGCAGACAGGGATGGAGATGGAGAGGTGAACCAGCAGGAGTTCCTGCGCATCATGAAGAAAACCTGCCTGTACTGAGGGGAGTGCATGACACTAGGGTTGATGGCGTCGAGGGGACCAGCGGTGGTTTCACATGTAATGCTGCTCATACATCTAATTTCCTTTTCCTTATTATTGTGTCGTGCCATACATTTCCAATTATAATGAGTCAATCAAAAGGTTTAACTGTCACTGAGAGGAAGGTGTTGTGGTCAAATGCCAAATTATACTCCTTTGATTTACATGATACTCGACATTACATTTGCCAAAAACAGCAAGAGAATACTCTCTCTCTCTCTCTCTCTCTTTTGGAATGCTGCATACTTTTATGAAGGATACATTGATGATATTAATGATTATATGTAGGTTATATTTTATGTCAAGAAATTCTCAGTGCCTACGTCAATATGGTGACAAACACAGTACATTCCAATGCTTTGATCGATGATACAGTGTGTACGTTAAGTTTCTTCCATCTGTAGATTGTTTGGTTTATACTGGTAACTGCAGTGTTTCATGTTATGGCTCCTGTAACTGCTGACGACTGGGAAGCTCTGTCTCATCTCAGTGGATCTGTGCCTGTGCCTCTTAAAAAAGGGGCAATCCCACTATCTTTAACATATGATTGTGTATGTATTTTTCTCGTAGCATTGAGTATTTATTCCTCTGTTGTGTTTGACTTCTCTGTATTCTTGAATGTTTTGTATGATATGTAGTGACTTAAATGAGTAGATATACAGCATATACTATGTGTTTAAGGTACAAATTAAATATCTTGAAGCAGTCTGTCCTGTCTCTCAACCAATCAGATTGCAGGGCCGGAACTAACTGTTGTATAATTGTTATGATCATAAGCACCCCATATCTTTCCAGTAGTTACCAGTGAACTGTTTAGATCTCTTTTTCCTCACATTATAAAATCTACTGCTGCTAATCAAACACGTTGTTTTCCTCTGAACTGCAAATGGATTGCAAGAAGATATACATATATCTATATAACACCACAAACATAAAATCAAATTCAAGACACTACAAAACACACAGGCTGTGCTGAAGCGAACAACACTGATCCTCTCATTCAGGTAGCACAGGTAAAACTGTTATGTTTTAGGGCCCTGACACACCAAGCAGACAGTACTGCAATCAGTAAGCATCTGTCACCTTAGTCTTTGCAGTGTGTCCATTGGCCCTTAACAGCTTTTTTGGGGGGGCTGATTCAGTATGTTGAATCGGCACCAGAGGTGGCAGAACCCGTCTGTGAATTAACTCACTTTAATTAGCAGTTCAATGAAAGTGAGGAAAGTAAACAAAAAGTAAAATTAGTTTTTTGCCATTAAGCTCTTGAGCAGAAACCATTCGTAACTGGTATTGTTCACTAGAGCACGGTAAGTATCATTTGTTCCTTAAACATCAGGTTGTGTTGTTAATGTGCTAACTGGCTAACTAGCATCATGACAGTCTTCAAGTTTCCTGTTTTGGATGATGAATGTAGACACTGTCTGCAGGTATGGAGAGTTAGTTCTTCTCATGTAGCCGTAAAATATACATCCAGGTTGTCTGTACTCTTTGTGGTGTGTTGCAGTGCAACTTTTCGACAGAGACATGAAGCAACACAACAGTCCGCCTTTGTCACCACTAGTTCCTTAATATGGGTTTGGTGTACCCGGCCCTTTAGAAATGGCAGACCTTACGCTCTTAGAAATAAAGGTGCTAACTAGACCCATATAGGGTCCTTCCTCAGCTTGGTGGAGACCAATGACCCAGACGGCGGAGGTTTCATGAACTCATTACTACTACAGCCTTTACAATTTCAGTAGTGCAGAGGAGTTGGGGCCCGAAACTCAGCTCCAAATTAGAACCAGATACAAAATGCCAAGTGATGGGTAACTGTCGAAAAAAAAGGTGGACAACATGGTATTGTATGTCATGAAATGAACACATACAGTAAAATGAATGGACTAAGGGGTTTCCAGATACAATTAAAACATTTGATTATTTGAGGGTGTAGATCTTGTAATGCCCGTTCTTTCAACAATACTTGAAGAACTTTCTCCCAAAAAGGGCCCTTTGGATGAAAATGGAACCCTCAGTCTTACAAAGAACCCTTGTGGAACCCTTTCCTCAAAAAAGAGGGGTCTTTATCAGCAAATGTTTCTGGGTACAACCTCAGCCTTTCAGTAGGAACCCATTTGGAGCCCCTATTTCCAAGACTGTAACCTAATTTTGGTCCTGGACTTTGTTCCTGTGCGCAGCCTGTTGTATCCTTTGCTGCAGCTCCCGCGAGCGATAGCCATAAACCAGAGGGATGAGTGACACCCCCAGACTGAAGATGATGGTGGCTGCTATATCAAGAGTATCACTGTGCAGGTATCCAGGAATCAGGTAGCTGTCCATGACCAAAGGAACAGAGAAGAGTATGGTCTGAGCCGCCTGGAGGGTCAGGGTCACACAAGCTCTCTTGGTGCAGAGCAGTCCCCTGCGCATGTCCCAGCAGAGCAGGCAGAAGCACGCCAGGATGGTCAGAGCGCAGAGAAGCACCACAACAGCAGTTCCCACGGTGCAGTAAAGGACCAGAGCTGATGTCCCTGACAGGCAGGGTGTAATGATAAGAGGTCGACAGCGGGTAATAGTAAAATTGACCTGGATGGTGTTGAGGCTGATACCCAGAGCCACACTGCTGAGCACAGCTGATAAGGTCCATATGGCTGCAATAGTTGCCCTCTTCCTTTGAGGACACATCAAGAATTCATAGCGCAGGGGCCACTTGACAGCTACAAATCGGTCCACGGACAGAGCGGTGCTAAGGAAGAGGTCCACCTGTGCAAAAAAAAAAGAAAGACATAAAGTAGATGCAGTTTTAGCTGTTACTTGTCACATCAAAATTTTAGAAGTCCAGTTTTTTTAACAGGTTAGTCAGAGCAGCCGGGCTGTCAGCAGAAAGCAGGGCATGAATTTAGGTCACATTTATGTTGACAGCAGCACTTTTTAAGAGGTCTCCAGGTAAACTGAGTCTTGTTTCTACTGCAAATTGCTGTGCTGCCCTTTGGTCTCATCCCCTCTCTCCCCTGAATGATTCACATGGATTATCCTGCTTAGTAATGATCCAACTCCACATTGGATACATGTTCCATTAATAATATGGTGGTAATATGTGTGTCATATTGGACATCACAGACAGAAATGAAAACAGTAGAAAGCAGCATGGAGCACAGTTAAAGTATCTCAGTGGTTACTTCACCCCTGGATTTCGTGATGTTGCGATTGCAACAATTAACGCAAATTGAGCCTGTCACCGTGAATTCTGCTCAACCTTGCAATTTTGTCTAATCACCACAACATTACTGCAAATTTAACTATTTAAAACAGGTCAAATCTCATTTTATTGTGGAGCTGCATGCAGTGTATTGATTTACTCAGCCCCTCTCTCTCTGTTCATCATGAGACTACAGCTGTGGGACTGGAGATCGGCGCCTGGGAAAGAGTCACACACACATTAACAGGGCTAACTGTTAGCATCACAAAGCTCACGTTACCCAAAACTTATTAACAGGTTTAACAACAGCTGTCTGGTCATTTCGGTGTGAGATTAAAGAGTTCGGAGTCGGATATTAACCACTGCTGCAGGGCTTCATGCAGTGCTGTGTTAGCTCATGCTACGCAAACAGAGAGAGCCTTTCACAGAGACAGTCTTTCAAATGGCATCAACTGCAAAAAAAGCCTATGATCGTCACAACATTCATCACACTTTTTTGGAAAAGCTTTCAGGTTGCAACAATCCCAAAAATAGCCTGCAAAATCTGGAGGGAGTGTCCTACTTATTCAGTCTCTCTCTCAAACTCGGTGCTGACTAATTTGGAATGATATTGGACCACTGTTTAGACGCAGACGGACAGTATTTTGTGGCTGCCAAATTAGCGTATCCAGCCGTCATATTTCTATCTCTGCTGGAGCTGATCAGACTTGGAGCTGATAAATGATTTATTTTTAAACAGAATGAGAGTTCTATGAATTTTGTCCCACATCACTTACAGTACACTGAAATCACACTGGGAGGGGATCTCTTCTTAGCCAAAATGGACAGGAGGGAACAATTACAGCAACCTGTACCTCTTTCAATGTACTTATGGACACGTGAATGCTGTTTTGAAACAGACTTGTAAAAATGTGACATATCCTTTAAACCTGATAAATGTTAGAATCAGTTAGAATGAGTTGTAACTTCGACTGTGCCTGATGGTGCAGACTGATGTATAACTCATAGCACAAATATGGATCACATAAATATAATCAATGTTTTACAAACCAGTGAGCAGGCCTGGTTAGCAGCACAGAAGATCAGACAGTGGGTCACAGGTATACCCCCTCTGGATTTTAGGACAACCACTTTGGCTGTCCAGATGAGCTGCTGAAATGATAATGATGGTGATCATTTAGCTCAGGGGGGCATACTATCATCATCTCAGCTGTTTAGAAACAGTATATTGGAACAGCTCATAGTCAAACAGTGCAAACCTACCTGGAGGTTGTCACACAAGAGGAGGTGTGTGAGAAGCAGGAAGCGAGTGTGTCTGAGGAGGGACGGGGAGCGCATGAGGACCAGGAGCAAAGGAACATTGAGTACGGTGTTCAAAGTGCAGCTCACACACATGGTGACCATCTTCACCAGCTGGTAGATGGTGGTGTTAATCTGTGTCTGGGCCTCCAGTGAGGTCACATTGCAGTAAACACCCATGGCATAAAGCTCCCTCTGATCTGCCTTCCAGATAGTTTCGTTACCTTATTAAAAACAAGTACAAGTCATTGGCACCTGGGGAGCTCAAAAAGCAAATAAAAAGTCACCTCATCAAATGGGAAAACAAGATGCAATACACTCACCCTCACATCTGGTTCAAAGATGCTCTTCTCTCCTGAGCATTTTTCAGCATTACATGGCGCAGCAGGCACATGGTCAGTTTCACTCTGATGGCTGGTTGCGACTGAATGTGCGACCAGCATTACAGGCTGTCCATTTACTTAGCTTCACCATGTCAATGCGTCAGACCTCCGGCCTAAAACCTCATCCCTGCCGACAGTGATGTGTCAACAGCTAGTGTTTGTTATCGGGATTACATTTGCTTATTAATACAAAAGTCAGGGAGAATATTAATACATCTGTACAGAACTGTATTCTACCTGTCAATATTTGCCTGATAGCAGAGGCACAGTCATGGAAAACCTAACGCCAACCTGACTCACCCACACACATTATCATATTTCTGTAGCATATACAGAGAGATGCTGGACTAAAACAAAATCATCATACCTTGTTTTAAAGTCATTTTTAACCCAAACAATCTCCTGGTGTGGAAAGAGCGTAGCAGAAAATGTTAAGGGATAAATGTATAAGAGTTAAGAAGTATAATTTAGGCATATCAGTTAATAAAAGTATGTATTATATGTAAAACTAACTTCCAAGACATGTTTGGAAGTTAGTTAGTGTCACATGTCATAAAGATGTCAAGTGACCATTTAGAGTACAGTCAAACATTTAAACTTTATTTATAGAGTTCATAACAGGAAGATAAATCAAGTCAAATATTTAAAAAAAATATAGATCTAATCAAAGCCAATCCCTTAAGAAATGTTTCCTCAGTATCTTAATAGATAACAAGGAAACAGGTGGTGTGAAAATTATTGTTTGACAATGCCTTATCTATACACACACACACACACACACACACACACACACACACACACACACACACAGACTCAGGAGTGTGAACTCCATGTTTAGGCTCAGTTTTTTCAGTTCCAGCAGATCCAGTCTATAATCACAGGCTGATTATAACAGAAATGATATGACAAACATAAAAATAGATTCACATAGCTGCTCACTAAGACTAGTTGACTGAGGTATATTAGCATTTGAACAGGTTTCAGCTTTGACTTAGTTTAGTCTTGGAGGCAAAGTCTGCACTAAGTTTACGCATCACTTCTGCATGGCTTTGTCCTGAAAGCTCCTGCCGTACAGTCCCGTAATTCTCTTTGACAAAGTTGGCAAACGGTGTGGGAGCACGTGGCTTTCCAGGCGTCAGTAAGACGAGTTGTCCTGTGCAGAGGGCGCACACGAACCTCTGTGTGTCCAGTGACTTGGAATGGCGTCCAATCCTAGCAAGAATCATAGTAAAGTATTAGGAATGTTACCCAGCAAAAATAAACACACATCTCTTAAAAAACGATATCAGGTTAATCTGAATCAATCTGAAAATCAGACGTACGTATTCTGGCAGCGGGTGCACTGGTACTGGAATTTGTATTTGATGTCATAGCTGTGGCAGCGAGTCACCATGGGCAGCTCAGGATGCGCCACTGTGGACTTGCGAGCATACAGCTTCCAGAAGTTTCCGTGCCCATCCCTCACGCCATTAATCAGCCAGGTTGCGGCGTGACACATCTCATGAATCAGTGTGTCCCTGAGACGATCTAGGAGGGCGGAACAATGAGAAACCATTGATGGGATTCAATCAAATTTCAAGCAGACAGAGTTACAACTTTAACCTGTCTGTCTCATTAAAGCATTACCTGCAGAATCACAGACTTTCTCCGACAGCTCAATGCGGGCGTAGCGGCTCCCTCCACCTCGCTCCTGCCCCGTAACACAGTAACCGGCTGTTTTCCGCATCTTCTTATTCCAAGTCACTGACATATCGACAGGGAGCTAGAAGTCATGTGAGACCAGGGAAAAAAATGTTAACAAAGCAATTAAATAATGTAAAATATTTATAGATTGAAAATCAAATGACGTTTCGAAAATATTTAATTGAAATAGAGGAAAAGGATAGTTCATCACCTTACTGTCAAACACACTGGTATTGTACAGCTGGTAAAGTCTACTGGTGAGTTCTTCCTTGTTCTGCTTAAAATTGCGACCATAGTTGGAGCCAGGGTTTGATAAGGACTGCAGGAAGCACCCTGGGGTCTTACACAATGATACCCTAGAAGGGAAAGACGAGGGTAAGCTAAAGACAAATGTCTGCATGTGAAAGACAAACTGAGTGTGCAACATTCATGTCTGTACATAAAAACTGGTCAATATGTGTACCTGCTGATGGGGCCGTGTCTGGGCTCTGTCTGGCTGACTGTGGGTTTCAAAATGGTGGATCGTCCTTGTGTTTTCACATAAAGAGGTGTGTCCCTGAATGATTTAGAGGCTGGTGTTGTGAGCCCCTTCACAGGAGGAGCTGGTGCAGGAGGCTCCTTATTGCATTCTGTACTTAAAAATAGAATCAACATCAGCTTCGCAACTAGAATAAAAACCAAAGCTAGACTGTTAGAAGGCAACAATCCAAGTAAAACTGTTACCGTGGGTGCTCCTAGGTGAGAATGAAGTGCCAGTGAACTTGTTTTTCTTTTTCAGTCTCTCCAGCAGGGATGTGAACTCTTCCTCAGAGCTGGCTGACTCATCCAGCTTAGAAGGCGCTGAAAGAGTGCGTCTTGGAGAGGCCAGTGATTTTTGAGTTTTGTGGGGAAGCAGAGAAAAAGGAGAGGGGGCGGGAGGCAGCGGCAGCAATGGTGAGCTTTCTTCTTCATCACACCGCAGAGCAGTCTTTGTGTTGGCTTTTTGCGGGGACTTAGGTTTCAAGTGACGAGTCCTCCAAGTGCTCTTAACCACAATATTATCATCATCATCATCGCTGTCACTTATAAAGACTGGGGAGTCACACTGAGACAGAGGTCTCCTCAGTGGATGCTTGGCTGCTGGAGTATTGCTCTTCTTGGGCACTGCAACACAAAACACCATTGTACACATATACTTCTATGTTGCTTTCCATGGAAATATAATAGAGCATCAGTACTGATGAGGTTCAAAGTTACCTTTAAAAGATGATTTTGAATCGATAAAGTCATCATCTGATGAGTAGTCATCCACTATGAAGTTTTTGAGGCTTTAGAATAAACAAAAAAGTAAAACATATTGTAACAACAAAAACTTCTAGATACCAAAAATGAATTTGAAGGAATAAAATACACCATAAACGTACCTATCTTCACTCCCACTCTCTGATTTCTTATGCTTGACATTCGGGGTTTTCACTCGTTGCAGGACTTGAATAAAATGAAAATGTATGTGAGAAAATTGAAGCCGACAATATCAAAATGATTCCATCACCTCACTGATGTTAGAAGTTGGCTCATTTTTGTCAGTAGTTACAGATAGACAAAGGGCTACTTACATGTCTCAAAACCATCATCATCGTCTGAACTCACAAGAACATTTGATCTGAAAAAACAAAACAAAAAAAAAAACAATTTAGAACTTATGTGAACTATCATGACCAAAACTTTGACGACAAAAATAAGAGGTAAAATTGAAACCAGAAACAACACTGAGATGTTGCTTCATTAAACATTCTCAGTGCACTCCATTTTCATACCTGTCTTTCTTTGCAGCACTGCATGGTTTCAGCGTGGTAGGTTTAGCTTTCGGTGTAGCCCTGCCCACAAGAACTAAAGAATAAAATGGTAAAATGAACTCAGTATCTGCGAATGGAGTCATATGATTCAACAATGTCAAATTCATCCAATGTAGCTCACTCACATTGGTCAAAGTCATCATCACTGGACTCAGTCAAAGATTTGTTTCTGTAGTCGTTGCCTTTGGAACACTTGTTCTCCTTCTCTGGATCATCTTCACTGTCGGAGAGGGCAAGCTGGACAAGAGGGGCTGACTGATCCACAGAATGATGACTGCTTGTGGCACCATGACGAGTTTTGCCAATCGAGCTTATCAGCTAGAAACGATGAAGACAGTCAGATTAGCATCATGACTACAACATGTCCGGCATTTAAATTGGGCTATAACTAACAATTTTTTTTTAAATAATTATCAATCAACTAATTAGTCTCTTGATTGATTTTAATTGATATTTTGTAGATGAAATGTCAGTAAATACTTGTTTACATTTAATGTCTATTCAGTCAAAGTAGTCCAAATTCCAAATATATTCAGTTTATTAAAATATATGACAAGAAAAGCGTAAAATAATCACATTTAAGAAGCCTTGGTCTTTTTGCGTAAAAATACAAAAGACAAATGACTAATCCATTTTTAAATTTAAACTGCAGGTGTATTAGCTGTCTTCTAATTGATATATCAACTAATTGATGCCACTGACATTCAAATATATGACTGTAAAGTGATACTTCTCTCAGTAACCCAGCCACATTTTAATATTGTAACATTGGTTTCTAAGTTAACTGTATATCGTCGTCAGGTGCTACTGTTTGCTGGTTTATGAGGTGTGCAACAAACCTTTTTCTCTGCTGTGTCCAGTCCTCCCTCATCATCCCATCCCATCTTTTTAGCGATTCTTTCAAATAAGTTGCGGGTTTCTTTGTTCATTGTGTCCTCTGCTCTGTGGAAACGGTGCACAAGCCACCATGACAGTCATTTAACATTTAAAGCCCAAGGCTAACGGTAAGCCTACGATTTAAAGTATAATAAACTGCCAATAAAATCATAAGACTAGCTGATGGTTAAGATAACGTTATTAGTATTTTAATTTTACTACTTTAATTTTTCAGTTAATGAAAACAAGGGTCTACAGCTACACACACGCACATACTGTAACTGGAAACATTAGCGTTACCGTTAGCAACATGCTAGCTAGCAGTTTGGTCTCAAGCTAGCTTAACTTTGTGGTTAGCTTAGTGCTAACTAGTCTATTGTTTATCGTTAATGTGCGGTACATGAACTCATAGCATATTAATTAAATTGCGAAAAGTATATATATATTTTTACTTGAGATAATTACCAAATGTGCTTCCGTTGTTGTAAATAATAGACAGTGGCAGCAGTCGCTTAGCAAATTCAAATCTTGTGCTCCATTAGACCGGAAGTTGTCTTGTAGACATTCCACCAATCGGAGCGGGCTTCAAGTGACACGTAACGTTCTGTCCACGCCCACCATTGTTGATCCGTTTAGTTACTTGCACCTTTGTACTATTTCTATTTAATTCTACATTATAATTATACTAACATATATATGCATACATCCTCCATTAGTGGACGTTTGTATCACACCTAGAGTGAGTACAAGAAATTGAAAGAGCAGCTGAATACCTTGTCATCATGGAGAATGGCTGGATTATATTCCGTATCATTTATTATAGAGTGCTGCCATGTGATCACAGTGATCCTATACTACCTACCTGAAGTGAAAGGCTGGTGTCTTTTCATTCTATCTACCAAAAAGGTCAATCACATGAGCCCCAAAGGCAGTGCAGTTTTGCCATCTTTTTATTTTTTATTATACTCATAGCCTGTGGCATCAATGACAGCATACAGTTGACGGACAATACAAAAACAAAAACTGCTTAGAAAATACTTACCTATGCCGTTCCTGGTTTGAGTGATTAAAAAACAAGAACAATTTGTCAACAGTTCTGACACCTAATGAATCCCAAGTTCCTTTGTCCAGCTTTGTCCAATCAACTTTACAAGCAAAGTGTGACATCGAACAGGAAAACAGCCACAACATATTCCTTGGTTGACAACAAAAATTAGTAAAAGTTGGCATTTAGCAAGGGGAAGAAGTCTCCACTTTAAACCTTATTCTTTAAAACTTGCACATCTACTCATTGCAGTAATTTTGTGACAGCTTAAGACAAAGTAAAGAGCAGCTGCAATCTAGGTTTTACAATTGTATGTTAAAGCTGAGGGAACTGGAGTCAGGTACAATGCTCGGCATGACGACTTGAGACCTGCCTCCTATTTTTTATCTCTACTCTAGATACAGCTTTTATAAAATTGTGACTTTTGCTTTGATGAGACATTTGGACGTTTTGAAAACTGTTGCTAAATTCGGTGTACCGAGCTTTGGTCTATTCAGATGCTTTCAGTTGTGTGACTTTGCAAAAATTCACTTCACATCTTTTCCTTAACTGCTTGGAAAACTTCAAGAAAATAATGTCTCCCCCAGGATAAAATAATATTTGATCAGTTTTAACATCTTCTCTTTTCTGACTAAATGATACATGGGAAAAGGAGCTGGGGCTCAAGCTTGGCATAAAAAAAAAAAAAAAAATCAACTCCACTTGTACATGTGCTCAAGTGGTATAGACTGTACTAAGGGCAGGCTGAAGAAATAGTTTCTTTGCAAGGACGATTCTTGTTTAAAGATTTTTCTCTTTTCTCCACTTAGAAAAAAATAATGTAACAGATTTCAGAGCTTGAAACTCCTTTCACTCCTACATTAACTCTTAACTTCAATAGACATTTAATCCAATCAATACCGCTCTATCATTGTTTCTTTTTCCTTTTCTCATCTGTCACTCGAGGAAGTGTATTTTGTACCCCCTTAGATGTGTGACACAATGGACAGGCGGACGAATGGAGGGTGATGGGTGCGTTTTGTGCTGTCTGTTTCTGTTTGTTTATGGGTTGAAAGCAATTTAACATGTCAGAAAACTGTCAGACTTCTTATTTGCAGTTAGTATCTGTACTGTCTGTAGCATGCTTTGAAGTTTGTTTAATAAACACATAAAAAAAAAGTTACAATTGTCAGGGTTCAACAATGTCCTCTTAAAACACACGACACTCTTAATCCATTTATAAATAGATCGACAAGTAATGGCGGCTGGGCATTCTCTCCACAAGCTGCAGTTAGTCCTGTATGCACACTGACAGGAGAAAAATAAAATCCACTGATCAAGGTACTGAAGGGAAGCAGGGCATTCACAATCCTCTCATGCTCACCAAATATACTGTGTTTTAGCACAAGAGTCTCAGATAGGGTGCCTGAAAGTCTCAGGCTGCATCTGGCTCAGGAAATGCAGATGTGTGACGCAACAACGGATGTGATGGGGGTGAAAAAATGTGTACATCTGTTGGCTCCTTCACAAATAAGAGTCCAATTAATAGTAAATGACAGCGATGGAGACAATCACTGAGGAAGAGGGCTGGAGTGGACACTGGCCATTCCAAGCAAGGGTGCTGATAATGGTTAAAAAACAAACAAACAAAAAAAAAGACAGTGAGGAAATGGTTGGGGTACAAAGGGAAAAGAAATCAGCAATTTCCAGTTCAGGCATTCTCACTGGTCTCTACTGAATGGATTTTGACCAGGTGTTCAGGCTTGTTGCCATTGCTATGGTGATCCCACATCTGCAGGTAAAGCCTCTCCAGGTCCATTGTGTACTGCTTGGTGTTGAAAAGGGGGCTGCAGATCCGCTGCTTCCAGACGCGTGCTCTGACCATCTTCAGGCTGAAGCAGACAAAGAAAATGGTCAGACTTCAGAGTTTATTATCATTTTTTTAAGATGTCAGATTAAATTGTACTTACTATTCCATGTCAGAGCCCAGTTTGACTGCTATGTCCTCATACTCCTGACGACTGTGGGCTATTAGCTCAGGGCAGCCCAGACAGCTGAGTTGTGAGGCAGCCACACGGGAAGCGAGGGTTTCACCTTTACAAAGAGATTTTACAATTAAAAAGCAGCCTTCATTTGAATTGTTTCAACATATACAACTTATTTTGTTATAAGAAATGAGACATTTTTAAATGTGTAAAATGGCTGTATTGACTAAAACATTTGTATTCCATTAGCAACCAATGCTTCTGAGTCTGCTTTGCCACCCTAATTTACTAACCTGGCATGGTGACCATGGGTGTTCCAGCCCAGAGAACATCCATGCCTGTGGTGTGACCGTTGCACAGAGGAGTGTCCAGGCACACATCGGCCAGCTGGCCCCTTCTCACATGCTCCTCCTTGGGGGCCACCGGAGAGAAGATGATGCGGGAGCCAGGCAGACCCATGTTCTGAGCGTACTGCTGGATGTTGGGCTCGCCGACAGCTGGGAAGCGAAGAAGCCACAGCACACTGTTGGGCACACGCTTCAGGATCTGCAGAGAGAGAGAGACGGGAGTTTTACAGCTGATTATCTACATGAAGAACACACAAAGCTGTTTTAACCACGGCTGTCCAACTTACATTGGCCCACATCTGAAGAGTAGGGGGATCAATCTTGTAGAGCTGGTTGAAGTTGCAGTAGACGATTGAGTCCTCTGGGAGACCATACTGGGAGCGGGTTGTCACGACGATTGTGCGTGGCACCTCTTCACCAGTGGCAGCTTTGTTGTTGATCTAAAATGAAGGATAAAACAGTATTTCTTAGAGGTAAAGTGGTCTCAAGTCTACAGTGTGATAAGTCTATGAGCCCACTGGTGATAAGAATTCTGTTTGAAGAGCCTAGCTGGTATCATTCATTTTACAGCCGATCCATAGTGCCACCACTTCCCTCACCAACAAATCTGTGCTTCCACCTCACATAGACATCATACCTGTAAGGAGACAGTCTCAGAGACTACAACTGCATCTGCTGAAAAGATCTGGGAAGGTAGTAGGCTACATTAAACTGCTGCTCTTGCCTTGTTTCTGCATTTCTACCCATGCTATACCCCTTAAGATTTACATTTACATGGACAGGTGTGTCCAAGTTACACATACCTGTGTGGTGGCCAGGCCATTGCTTACAGTGAAGCCATTGATTGTGACCTGGATTTGGCCTTGGTTGATCATGTTGATGATTGCTTCAGCTGCTGTGTTCATGGGGATTACAGGCATAGACAGAGCTCCATTTGTGTCCCCAGCAGATTCCTGGTTGTTGTCACACTTCATCTGGTCACAGAAGACAGTTTCAACTTAAATACCAAATCATGCAACAATAATTTTGACTGCATAGTTCATATTCACAAGTTTTAATGCTTTTAACGACGAAAATCTTTTATCTAAATGAGCAGACATTGGCCAAGATTTTCTTATTAGCAAATGCTAAGGAAAGAAATGTCGGATTTTATTTTTTTTTTTTTTTTTAAAGATGATTCTTAGTCAACAATAAAACATGAACAGTCAACCACTGCCATCTAGAGGTCCAAAACCTAACTATAGTGCACCACTTAAACTAAATGAAGTGATTTTCCAATAACACACTTAAACGATTTGCTTCTTGGGGAAATTCTCTAAACTCACCATTATCACTTTAACATCTGGCAGACTGTCCAAGAAGGCCTTCAGATCAATACCATTAAGAACGATGCGGTTGTCAAAGATGTGTCCATTAGATTTGAAATCAATCACAGCCTTTTTCTGTGGGTCAAAAATAGAAAACATATGTCACAAACTTTTGTTGTTTTCTTTTGGTTTTGTTTCTTCAAATAAGACACAGAAACAGCAGGAATGGGAGGATGGACAAACCTTGAGGTGAGGGAACATGTTGGCGTGGTCACCGATGAAGAAAGTATGGGGCATGTAGGCCAGTTTCTCAGAATACTGCTCGGCTACTTCCAAAGGTGACGTCTCCTTGTCAGAGATGATGTAGTCCATGAAAGGAGCCCCACTGGTTCCAGGGTAACCCAGCCACATAGTCTGTTGACATCAGATTAATATGACTGTGGAGATGCAGTAATTGTTTTGCACAGTTGATGGCCATCCATAAACTATAACTGTGTCAATCATAAATCGCACGCAGCACTCACCTGAATGGGGGCAGGGCGAAGGGCAAACAGCTCATTTCGGGCTCCCTTGGTGTATCCGTTCATGTTGACCAGGATGTGGATTCCATCCTGGTGAATACGATCAGCTGCCTTGCCATTGCAAGGAATCTGCAGGAAAGAGGAACCAGTATCAGTGAAAATTTTCTTGTTAAAATGCCCAGCCAGTAAAAAATCCACATCCTTAAGATTAATAAACACTATGTAAATATGCAAACAGTTACCTGCGAGAGGTCTGTGAAATGATGAGCCTCTGCAACAACTTTCACACGGAAGTTGGTACTATCATCAGGGCTGAGCGCATAGCAGAACACCTTGAGGAAACAAAAAACAAGTATAGACTCGTACATTAACATCACAGTATATACACAAAACTTATCAACCATTTTAGTCAACCCTTGTATCACTGACTGGCAAGACCATACATTGTCATAAGAGTTATACACACTTGTCCTGTCAAGTTTGTCATTCCTTGAATTAAAATGACAATACAGATCCCATACCTCAAATTTCTCAGGATTGTGCATTCCAGGAATGGACTGCATCAGGTGAGAAGTTGGGTGGTTGCCAAAGTCAGAGCTGACGTAGCCAATGCGCAGACGTCCACTGCTGGATTTCAGATCCTTCGGATGCTCAAAGGCAGGTTTGTGCAGTGCGTTAATCTGTAAAAAAAAAAAAAATGCAACAGTGTGAGAATACAGCATCAGCAGGATAACTAATTGTAGTTTGACTGAGTTACATACACTTAAGCAATAGTGGACTAACACCAACCCGTGAACAACAACGTATTTATCTAAAATTACGTCCAACCTTAAACCACTCCCCCATTCCTGCAAGCAACCCATTCACCACCACCTTCCACCTCTTCATCTTCAAAGTTAAATACGTCCAGTATCTTGCCCATCCCTTACCTTCCCCATATCCCTGCAGAAAGCCACTGCCATCACCAGCCACCTTCCATCCCCCCCAAAAATGAATTGAAGTTTACTTGCTTTGATCAGTGCGTGTACCTTGTCCAGGCAAAGGTTTCCGTGGCGCTCGGCAATGGCCTTGCGGAAGCCGTGAGAGAGAGGATACAGCATGCTGTGGTGTGGGTGCACTGAGGGCAAGCGGTTCTTGTCCAGCTGGTCAGCCACGATGCTCACAAGCTTCTTCATCCGCTCATCATAATCTGTCCAGTCACACACAATCTGGGAGAGTAGCAGGAATAAGAGAAGTTAGAAAATTAACTGCCAAGTACAAGGGAGAAAAAAAAGACTATTATATGTATTGGAAATATTTGACAAAAATGGCATTTACAAACCTGCAGGCAATGTGCCAGGTTGCAGTACGCATCAGGGAAGTCTGGCTTGAGTTTCAAGGCTGTGCGGTAAGATGCAATGGCCTCTGGGATGTTTCCAGAATCCTAATGGTCAAGGAAAACATTAGAATACAAATCAAAATGCATGAAGGCACATACACAGGAAGTTAAGTGCCACCCTACATATAGAATTTTACTGAACATGGAGACATCTCTCAGTACATTGTCACTGACTAATTCCTTTGGTGATGTGACACAACTCTGAACACATCCAGTCTTCATTACTTCAAACATGAAGGGAACGACTATTAAAATTAAGAATCATTCCTACCTTGTGGATGGAGGCCAAATTGCTGTGAGCGTCAGCAAAGGCAGGGTTGATCTGGATGGCACGGGTGTAGCATTGCAGCGCTCCCTGTACATCCTGCATTTCCTTCAGTGTATTGCCCATGTTGGAGTAGGCATCAGCAAATGTGGGGCTGATTCTAAAACCAAACAGGAACACTGTTTTAACACTTGAGTAACGACACTACTCAACTGTAATATGACTTGTAAAATATTCTACCTAGCCTCAGTTGACTTATGACAGTATATTTTATCAGGTGTATCAGGTGTTTTTGTTTTAAGCATTGTAGAATAATATTACATTTATCTAAGTCAGCAGGTAACTGTAACATAGATTTACAAACCTGATGGCCTCTTTGTAGTGCATGAGGGCCTCCTGGAGTTTGCCCTGCTGCTGCAGGACACTGGCAAGGTTAGAATGAGCTGCTGCAAACTCTGGGAACACCTGAAGAAAAACAAAAAGGGTTAGCAAAAAGAACAGTATAGAAATGCCATGCTCACATTTACAGCGATCTTTTTGAACAGACCAGATAATATCAGGTGACTCTTAACTCACCTCTAGTGCTTTTCTGTAGAGCTGAACTGCCTCCTCAATGTTGCCCTGCTCACGCTTGATATTGGCCAAGTTGTTGAGAGAGTCTGCATGGGTTGGACACAAACGCAAGGCTGTGTTGTAGCACTCCTCTGCTTCAGACACCTGGGGAAAGACATTGGCATTTTAAAAGTTAAATTCAGTAGATGCTCACTGACTTAAAGAGACCTAACAACTATTTAAGATTGTCTTTACAGGGGACACACAAAAAGTGCTGCCTTACATTGCCTTTCTCCTTCAGGGCATTTGCCAGATTACAGTAGGCATCAGGGAAGTGGGGCTGCAGTTCAATAGCCCGACGGTAGGTGTCAATAGCCAGGTCAATGAGGCCTTGCTCATAGTAGACACAGGCCAGGTTTCCATGGACAACTGCATGGTTGGGGCTGAGACTCAGGGCTCTCAGGTATCCAGCCACCGCTCTGGAAACATGACACAAGGTGTGGATACAAGGTAAGATCAATCTTTTACTGAAAATTTGAAATTGTAGTTATCTTCTTTTTAAATAACTTGTCACAGGCTATTAAAAAACATAGTCTAACATTGCTGACACATTTTAGGTGCAATAACTCTGCCCTGCCTAAACAATGGTATACCAAAAAAAAAAAACAGCTACAGGATCAACACAGACAAGAATGTAATGGAAAACAGGGTGTGGCGGGGTGGTGCTTTTAAAAGACAAAAGATTGAGTATGAGTTCACAAAGGGAGTATTATATGGTCTACTGTGTCATGATTTGGACTCACCTGTCAAAGATGCGGGCTTCCTTCAGAACATTTCCTAAATTGATGTATGCATCAAGGAAATTTGGGTCCAGAGTCACAGCCTAAAATGGAAACCAAGCTTTAAAACATGGAACAACACAAGAATATACCAAGACAGAGAGCAGTCAGATTGACAAATGTTACAAAGAATTATGCAACTGACCTTTTCAAAATGGTGTATGGCCAACCATATCTCTCCTTGGGCATTAAACACACAGCCCAGGTTGCTCCAAGCCACTGCAAAGTTGGGCTGAGTCTCAATGGCTTTCAGGTAACAAGCCTTCAGTGGGTTTACAATGAAAAACCACAGGAAAGGAGTAGAAGAGGTAGAAAAGGGGGAGGTATAGTGTGTAGAGGGGGAGGATAGGGGATTGTAAAATAAAAACAAATAGAAGATTGAGAATAAAAGTAAGAAAAAACAAAAAGGGCAGAGAAAGCAAAATTAGTGACTACTCTCCATCATGGCAAAAAGTGAGTCTACAGCATGGGCTTGCGTGCGCACAATTCTGCCGCGCTAAGCTGCATTGCTTTTTCCTACGCTGCGCGGATCCAACCAACACCCTCACGTATGCCCTCATCCTTCAGTTATGACCACATTCTCGCCAAAAGTCGTGGTCCCCACATCAGGTACAGTTTGCTGGACTCTAATAATATCAACACTGATTAGTTAAATATAATTAGTTTTTAATATTATAAATGTCATAAATGTTGTATGTTTCATGTGGGATAATATCTCACAACCTGGGATGCTGGGCAGTTCGTGAAAGTGATGGTCCCTGTAATGCATGCGCAACAAACGCAGGCGCGAGGTGTGAGTCTATTGCCAACATCACCACCACAATGCACCATATAATGCTGTTTGCGCGACCTTGCTCCTGGCAAAGGTCGTTACTTTGCCGCTGCGCTCGCTGTATGGCCAGGTAGGACAGCTGCAGACCAACAACCCCCGGTAGAACACCTGAAACACCAGACTGGCACACACTCAGCATCCATACAGTATCTCAGAAGGGGGAGGGGTCAACCAGTGGCTACACTGTAATGTTAAGACGGGGCATTTGGAGATTAACAGCCAATCAACAATATGCCTTTTTACACTGAATTTGTAAAAAGGTTTTACTGCACATGACAAAGTAAATGTTTAGAGGCCAATTATGTCTGAGATTTGGGGCATTTGGGAGCGAGGCTGGTTGTGGGTGGGGAGAGGTCCGCAACCAACAGGCCAAAGGGAGTGAGGGGGTGTGGGTCGCATGCTTGCGCTTTCCGCCTTTTAGGTCGCTTGGAGGATATCGCTGCGCAGCCCCTGCGCTACTGCAGACTCACAGCGCACTATCTGCATCATCATCAGAACGCTGCAACTCCAAATAAAGAAGGAAAAACAAAACAAAATAGGAAAAATAAACAACATGTAAGAGTTAGAGGGTTCTTACTTGTTTTTCACGATTATTGCTTCCAAATCCTAGTTTCTTTTTACTTCTACAGAATTGGGTAATTAGTATAGCGTACTGTAAGAAATGCTTACTGTAATTTATTTTGCAATTTTTTTTTTCTTTTGCTCTTCAAAGGAAGCCACAAGACAGAGGAGCATGAAGTGAGGTGGTTTTTCTTTTGTTGTCAGTTACAAACCCGTTACCATATTTTTGGACTTTGTCAGAGTGGTGGCCGCAGCTGGCTGGAAGAAGAGGAGAGGACTGAGGCTGCCCTAGTGTTCCTTTCCGCCAGGCACCTACGCAGGAATAGTGTCACCCACCTGAAACCTTCTAAATAACAATATCAGTTGTGGAAAAACCAAAAGAGACAAAATCAGAAAACAAGATCGTTAGTAAAAGTCTTCAAACAATACATTCTTTTTTTAAATATGGAAATAAAACAGGTTCTTCCAAATCACAACAAACATAAAACAGACTATTCTTAGTTTTCATTCATGCAATGAATGTTTCATTTCAAAGAAAACAAAAGAAATGCTTTATGGGTAACTGGGAGGGAAGAAAGGCTTTGATATGTTCCACATGTTAACAGTAATATAGATTTAGATCAAGTTGGCTGGCTGTCCATCAATTCAGTTTTCATATCAAACTACAGGAGGGCAGTTACTGGCTTGATCTTGCCCAAATGAACTGATCCCATTTCTTTGGGAATAATATTACATATTTGAAGGAAAAGGGAAGAAGTATTAATCATTGCTTTTCTTTCATTCTTTTAGCATTTTCATAGAAGATTTTCAAATCTTTGATTTCTTTATCCTGGCCTGCTTTCTTGAATCCTGGCCAATGGGGTAGGGAGAAAAGTCTGTGGTGTAATTATTGGTATCTAGAAGCCTCCAAAGCTCTGAAATAAAGAAGTCATCGCTGTTGCTGCGCGTGCCTGTCTTTCTAACCCAGCATCTGACGCAGGAGGTGGAGTACAGATTGTGAGCTGTCTGCCTGACGACACTTGAACCATTTTAAGGCACTTGAGAATGTGCTCTGTCAAACCAACAGATTTACACGCTATTCAATCACAGTGGATATCAGCATAGATAGCCAGCTGGATGCAATTTTCATTATCAACCATAGTCAAAGACAGAATTAATACATGTGTGCATGAAAAGCACAGTTGGGGTGTGCTTGAGCACTGACTGGGGATCAGAAGGGTCAGGAAGGCAGCTCTTAGCGCGCACACTCCACCAATCCTTAGCAAGCGCGCGGGGGGTGGAGCGACAGAGCAGGGGAGCTTGTGACTCCCTGATGCTCCTCCCCACTCCTTTACCCCCCTCTAGCACGAAATAAGATGGCCTGTAACCACTGAGACAACTCCACATCCTCACATTTGACCCAACCCAGGGAGCCCAGTTACAGTAGTGGACAGAAGCCTTAAAATGACAAAAGGAAGTGTAACCCACACTGGCAGCAACTGTACTGACAGCAAGAAACAAAGAGCAAGACCAAAAGCGTGTCATGGGGCACTCAAATAACCATACTGGAGTGTAGTGGTTAGGTTAGAAACCATCTTATCTTTTGCACTGCAAAGATAAACTAGCTTCTCATCAGTTCATATATTCTTCAAAGACCGAGCCAGCATTTTCCCTCCAAAATCTATATGAAAATGCATGGGCTGAGGTTCAATGACGACAATATAGATCAAATGTTTCAATTCAAAAACTCCAGCCTTTCTTCCTGAAAGGGGAGGAGCTGGCCTCTGGTAAAAAGTTGGGGTAAAGCAAAAGACATTAGGACTAAAAGTGATACAGGGTGGGGACAAATGTGATACATGTACTATACTGAAAAACAAAACAGATGAAGCTGTCTAAAAAGTAATCAACAAAAAATCTGTATACTATGATTATATATTTGAAAAAATACAAAAAAAAAAAAAGGTTGCCTCTCATGGGTGTTAACTCATTGCCGTCCAATACCTCCAAAGGTTGTTTTTAAGTCAAATAGGGGTGAGAAGCTTACTGTAACTGAAATGAGAAAAAAGGTACCACGTCCTTCGCTTGGCCGAGGATGTTGAAAGGAAAGGACTCAATTTGGCTCAAAAATGTCAAAAGGGAGAGAGGAACAATGTCTATGGCCTTAGTGGGGGGACACTAGAAACAAAAAAAAAAATGCGTATTTGGAAAAAGAAAAGAAAAGAAAAAACAAAACTACAACAAAAATACAAACAACACATATATAAAACCGCCAACGCGCTGTAACATACCTTGGCCTCCTCCAAACGTCCAAGGGCTTTAAGCAAGTTGCCCAAGTCACTGCGCACACAATACAGATCCTAGGTCGGGGAAAAATAAATAAATAAATTTAGTTTTACTGCTACAATAAACCACAGATCATGTTTGTTTTACGAGCAGATATGAGTTTGCTGTGAATTTAAAGGGTAACTTAACACCCCCGTCTTTGCTATCCTCCAGCGGTTTAATGTTTCACCTTACTGCAGTGAAAAACAGGTGTAGTCCCGGACCTGGGACATCCCTGTTGACTGTGGTTACAGGTGCAACGGGGCCTATTTCTGACCACACTAAACCATGCCTACCAGTGATGAAAACACTGCTTTACAGCCTAGTGTTGAGTTACTCTTTAAGGATTTCAACAGATGGCATGTCACTTACAGGGTTGTACTGTAATGCAGACACATAAGCCTGCACTGCTCCCTCCATGTCCCCCGCAGCCACCAGAGCTGCTGCCAGGTTGATGTATCCGTCAATAAAATCTGGCTTCAGTCTCAGGGCATGGCGATAATGCTCTATGGCCTCCTGCAGTTGCCCACGCTCCTTGTACACGTTTCCCAGGTTAGAGTAGGCCTCGGCCAACAGCGGGTTCTGTTTGATGGCCAAGGTGCTGAAATGAGCAGACCTGTAGGGCCAGAATGGGCACAGAATGGTCACAAACCTGAAGAGAGTGGCTGGTAGCGTTGGCTCAGTGCCTTGTGCAGAAGCAGCAGCGATGTGCAAGTGGTGAAAAAGAGAAAGATGTTTCAAGGCAAATATCCTTAAAACGTTGAAAACATTAATACATGACACACTATAACACACATTTCACAAACATTGTTTCAGTGTCCATGATGCAAAATAATTAACATGCTGGCAGTATACTCCAAATAAAGATGTTTGCACAGACAAATGTTTCATCTACAATGAAGAATATGCTCCATATTTCGCTTCAACCGTCCCAGTGTACATGCTTCACTACCTAGTGCTAATTATTTTTACAACAATGAAAGATCACTCACCGAACTTAGATTTGTCTGTCCATTTTTTTTTGTCATATTCATTTTAGGGCTTTATTTGACAGTAACACAACAACAAACTTAACTGAAATTAATTCGGAGTATACTGTCAGCATTGGGTACATTGAAGGAATAGAAAAGAACAAACAAGATTGAACATTTAAACCTGTAACTCGTAAGACCCGAAACCTTCACCAGGACACCTGCAAAGCAAGGGTATGGCCACCACCAGTGTTAGAGACATTGAGGGGACAGAGCGAGGCCACATTAAACCAAGCAAGAGGATTTCCAGAAGAACTCTCAGTTGTTGCATCTGACTCCCCAGAACAACTGTGCACACTGAAAGCCACAGAGGACCCATTATTCACTTCCACGACACATTCTCAGTGTGCGTAGAGTCAGTCCCCCCACACCTCACCTGTCGAGTCTTCGGCATTGGAAGTGGATGGAGGACAGGAGCAGCAGCACGCCTGTGTTATCAGGCTCCTGTCTCCATAGCTGCATGCAGTGGCGCTCAGCTGCTTCAAAGTCCCCTGACTGATACTCCCGGTGCGCCAGCTCGGCCAACCCTTGGAAGGAAAGCATACGTTTTGTCGGTTCTGGAGCACCAACACAACCCAAGGAAGGGGGGAAACAACATGTTAGAGGTGATGGAAGAAATTAAAGCAGACAAATGAAAACAAAAAATAAAGAGATGACACTAATGCTGTCAAGGACAAATAATGGCTAAAATTTTGAACTCAACAGAAAACAAGGCAACGGGGAACATGAAGGGAGCTTTGAGAACAAGTGTTGAAATTTAAACAAATCTATAAGAATTTTAGATTATGATTTCAATTCTTGGGGTCACAATTTGATTTAAAAAAAATAATTTCTTGTTCAATAAACACTTTTAACAAACCTCTTTTTTCTGTATGACGAAATGTAAGACTTAGAAATAAGTGCTGATCACTTCTGGCAACATGTTTAAATTGACTGCATCTTCTTTAAAGAAATGAAACTACATATGTACTACTACATTATGTTTCACTTGTAAATTCTAAAGTGAAAATAATTTCAAAGGAGACCACTAAGCTGAAAGACCTTTTTTTTTTTTTTTAAACTAAAAAAGCATGAGATTTCATATAAAACCCAGTAATCAGGGTTTCCATCCACAAAGAAGTAAAAAGTAATACAAAGTTTGGCGACAAATTTCATGCATGAGATGGAAAAACAAACAGGGACAGGGATGTTACACTGGGAGAAATTTTCAAGTTCTGGCAACACTTTGGATTTCACATGTAATAAGATGACTTAAAAGCTTGACAGGTCAGCTGTCAAGTCACATTTCAAGAACATACACCCTTAAAATAACAGATATGTGAGGTTATAAATATTGTTAGGTTTTCCTTTTGAATGAATATCATCATTTAACATCTTTATTTAAGCGTTTCTGGTTTTCACTACCAATCTTGCTGTGTTATGATATTTACCAGATTTTTTCAAGTTATTTCTATATTACCAACAGGCTCTGTGCCAAAACTGAAACAGCCAATTTGAGACGGACCTACAGGGTCACTTGAGGTCAAAGTATTAAGGGTGTGGCATTAACAACATGCAATAAACACATCATGCATGGTGTAAGTGTACACAAGGGTGGAGAAGGTCTAATGGAGACACCCAGCTGGGTTGCAGTGGATTCACATACCTGCAAACTGACACCATGATGTCTGAGCATACACTGACATCGCACTACATCAGGTTCATCCACTCATGACCATTACATAATATTGCTTATGAGTAACAAGGATGGATGATTTCAAGTATATAACGTCCCCGATCACAATGCGGCAATCACGCAAAATGCCAGTGAGGACCACACTGAGATGTATTGCCCACTGATCAGCTTCAGGGTGGGTGCAGACAAAAACACATTCATTAACCTTGGGCACCTGCGCCAAGCGGTTTTGTCTTCACGGCCAGTTTTACAAGCAGGACGCTGCAGGGCCCGCGTGATGTCGGTGGTAGTAAAGTTAACGAGAAACGTTAACTAATAACGTTAGATTTTATCAGTTATCAGTTCTGAAGATGGTGACGTTTTTAATATAGGAAGCCATTTTCTCTGGCCACTCGGTGAGCAAACAAATTACAATGGCATCTTGATGTAGCTCGAGCTAGCATACATGTTAGCTAACTAGCTACAATGCCGACCGTTGCTAAACTAGGGCCTTTACCAAACGTTAACGTTATACACACACACACACACACACACCTGTCAAAGCCTCGCGTGTAACGTTATACATTTACACGTGGTCGTAAAATTGACACTCGTTAACTGTTTAAAAGATTCATTAGCTAGTTAGAACCTGCTATCTGTCAACATTAGCTATGCTAACTTTCGCTAACATACAAATATAGTTAGCGTCAGACCGAAGCTACAATATGAACATCGATAAACTGGGCCCACGTTGTAAATGCCATCATATTCAGTTATGTGATGCGAAAGGTTGAATGTACAGTAAACCTAGCACATTTATTATATTATTTTTAATAAACATTGGCTACTTGCCAGCCTCCAGCTCAATCGTTCGTTAGCTAACGTTAACGCAGCAACGCAACATAAGATTGTCTTGACAGCTTGCTACGCTACTTTCCATTTAACGTCTGCTACATTAAAATAAACCAACCTGTGCTGTCAGCCACGTTTCCCACTGAGGTCGCCATCTCCTCAGTCTTCGTGTCTTGCACGGTGGTCGTCAATGTGTCTTCTGGTGGGTTACAGTTTCAGAGAAAAATGTGCGACGAGCAGTCGTCTTTGTCGGCTGCGACCAGCAAACACGTTGCCAGGCGAGCTAAGCTAACCTAATTTTTGATTTACCGCTCCCCGTACAGCGCTTAATAAAGATACTGCAGTGGTCAGTGTAAATGCTGGAAATAATTACCAACCTCGCTACAATAATTAATAATTAAATTTTTACTAGCATTAAATATACGGTAGGTTAGCGCTTCAAGCTGGTTTCCTCCTCACAACACAGCTGCTGTAGAACATAAAATGGCGAAATGGGTGGAACTCATTTTTAAGAGGAACTAGATCCCCGCATCGCCATTACGAATAAACGTCCGTATAGATTTGTAATAAAGATCATATTAGTAGAATAATAATTACTCGGATGTGTGCTTGAAGTATGGTTTGCTTGCCGTGCGTTATAACTACGGTTTATGACGTAAATAAACGATTACAAGTGATATAGCGCGGAAGAACACATTGGCACAGTGAGAGAGTGCAAGGATTTTCTGGAAAAAGGCATCATCATAATCAGTCGTTCAAAGATTCATGATGGCATGATTTCCATGTTGATTACATCATGGCATCACATCTAAATATGTCTGACATGCAAAAGTCTGCTGCAGTCTATAAGGTAACAGACCAAAGGAATATTTACAGGATAGTCATATGATTCAATAATGAATTGAATCACAGTGCTCTAATATGCAGGCTAGACCTGCATGTAGTGAGCTGTGGATTCACATTGGAAAATGTAGGTTACCTTTACACATCTATGTGCACAAGCTGTGGAATATAGGTTACACCATATTTTGCCTGTTTTGACATGAGTAGGTCCAGACAAATGCAGAGAGGTAGCTTTGTGGTAGTGCTCTGGCATTTAGAAACAGCACAAGCAGTGCAAGACTACCAAAAGTAAAGGAGGCAAACATACTGTAGTGTGCACCGTTTTGTGTGGGTAACATGCACAGCCATGCATTTTGTTACCACATTAATTAAACAGCACATAACTCCATATATAATGCATTGGCAACCATGCAAGTTAATGTAATTGCTTTATTTCACTGTGCTGTTTGGTGTTAAATATTCTAGTGTCTAGGGGCATGCAGCACTGACCTAGGTGCAGTTTGAGCCTCATGCAGAACCTTGCCTTTGTGTAACAATTTTGTTAATCTGTTTTTGAATCTGTGGCTCAGCCAAACTGTATTAGGATAGGCATACTACACAGCTGTAAAAGTATTGTAGTTTGTGTAGGCCTCTGTGCAGATGGTATGCAAGATTCATAATCACCAACAGAGGGCAACCTTTGTAAAGCTATTGTAAAGAAAGATTTCTGGACTCTGCAAAGTGACTTTGGACATGAGTTTACCTCAGATTTTGTCATTTCTGCAGGTCCAACATATGTGATATACCTGCCTGTAGTCAACAAGAAGATTCCCTGGGTTGTGATATGGTGTTTGTTTTCAACTGTTAAATAGTTGGTGAACATTTCACACCACTGATAGAGTTTTATTTCAAACATCAGTAAATATTCAGTTAAAACCTTAATTATAGGCAACACAGACCCTCATTATTCACATTATCTCTTTAGTTCATTCATGTTTGACACACGTCAGTTTTACGGATGTGGCCCGTAAAGTGATAGTCATTAACATGCCATTCTGCCCTGAAGATGTTGAAAAGGGGGCTACTGCTTGCTGCACCTCAGTTTTTTCCCATAGTCCCTCTATGGGAAAGTAGTTGACATCATTGCCCATGTTGGCTTTGCTCTGTGTGCTCAAAGCATGCATAGGGCGCAGGGTTTGTGTACTCTTCCATGCGTTCCTCACCTTTGCTCTCGCTCTTCACACTGCTTAGCGGTCACTTGTGCACAGAATGATGTCATGGTCACTGTGTGTCTATGGCAATTGAATCTGACATGCTTTATCTTTGTGCAGGCTACAGTCACTAGGAAGGCGGTCAGGGTGAACGCATCTTCTCCTGTCTAAAGGGTCGGTGACAGCTCTCCACAACAGACCCTGCTTTCACACAAGCTATTTTAGGAAGCACGTGAGAGCAAGAGGTTCATTCACTCACAGGTCAATTTAGACCGGGCTGTTGTTAAAAATCTCAGCATAGCCTGGAGATATCGGGAGTTTGTTGTGCTGTTTAATTGCCAGGCCAGAATATTCTGCCACTAAATGACTGGCCTAAATTATTTCAGCCCACTTATTTTAGAAGAAGATCCAATGAAAGCTGATGACCCACATTGTTAGCAGTGTTTTGGAATGCTCTCCTAGATACTTGAATGGGGTTGCTTTGGGATACAGAGGGAGTTATTTGTTCATTAGTTAGTTATTTTTTGCTCCATTCAGTGACTCATAACTGAAAACTGTTCATGTCTTACAGTGCGTGAGCTCAGAAAAATTTCACTGTGTGAGGGAATTTTCTTTTGCTCGCACACATCTGGAACAGTCATCATGGACGCCAGCAATACCCATCCACAGTTGCAGGCTTACTGATCAATGAGTCCTCTTGATTTTATGGCTGTGGTATTGGTATTTTCCAGAGGTCCTAGAATTCAGAATTGATGCTCCAGCGTCACAGGGATGCAAAAAAAACAAAACATTCATGTCCTGGATAAAATTAGACATAACTATCAAGTTAAAAATCAACTGCGCCAAGTGCATCATTTTAAATAAACATCCTGAAAGACGGAATAGTTACAAGCAATCCTGCAGCTGCTGGACTTGCCCTTAGGATTATAACTTGCATGGGAAAAAAGAGCCAGTAGATGGACTATGTGCTTCCTAAATTTGTCAGCTGTCTTTACATAGAAGTCAGTGAAGGGGAAAAACATAAATGGCTACACTTAGATTATTATAAATGATAAACAACAAGCAGGTTCGGAGTAAATCAGCGGCAAAAAACTAGACAACCATCATGTCTGCATGAACGCAACACTTTATTGCTTTGCCAGATGGTCGGCAGCCTCGCAGCATTTATCACTCCAAGCTTTCCCTCTGTCCGACAGACAGAAAAAACAGAACAAAGACATTTCTTCAGTAGCATCTTCGCTGCTGCAGCACAGGTCAGCATACCTACTGTGACTGTCGAGTCACTTTTGAACATGCAATACTTCAAAAACATTGTGATTTAGGATATTACAGTCTCCATTTTGCCAGAGTTTTTAAATAACTGACATGTGCTAAGAATAACTGCACTTTGTGGAAAACATACAGGCAGATATTGGACTTCTAGCTGCCAGCCAAGTTAATTATCAGGTACCTGCAGTTTGATTCATCCTCTTGGCCTTTATTTAAGACATTTGTCGGGTGATGTTTTATAGCTACACATTTTGCGGTTGGAAGTTGTGTCTGAACAACACAGCTATGTAGAAAAATGCACTGCTGTAAAATGTTTGTTTCTGTTTGAAGTTGTACTCACCTCTCTGGAGTTATGTGTTAAACTTTATTTAGCACAGGTGGGGAAATACAGATAGTGTCTGTTTTAAGTTACTTTGACACTTACCTCTGACAGTGATATTAATTTGATACAATTGAGTGCAGATGGGGAAAAATACAAATGGCAGATCATCATCATATGTCATCAATAAAGTCACACAACAAGGTTTAAAGGGACAGTTCACCTCAGAATCGAAAATGCATATTTATCTTTTTACCTGTAGTGCTGTTTATTAATCTAGATTGTTTTGGTGTGAGTTTTTGAATATTGGAGATATCGGCAGTAGAGATGTCTGCCTTTCCCTTGAATATAATGGAACTAAGTGGAACTTGGCTTCTGGTGATCAAAGCGCCAAAAAAGTTCATTTGAAAAACTCAACAGCAGTGTCTAAATGTTTTTAATGACAGCAGGAGATGTGAATATTAATGGCATCCTCCTTGGCTGAGCTGTAATGTTAGCTAGCTCATCTCTGAATCTGAACGTCAGCCAAGCTAAGGAGACGATAGTGGACTTAAGAAGGAAGCAAGGAAGGAACTACACCCCCCATAATGTCTACGATTTCTGGGTGGAGAGGGGGACAGCTCAAAGTACTTTGGTGTCCACATCACAGAGGGCCTGCATGCTTCCTTCTGCATGGTAATACAGTTTGCAAGTGTAGTTCGGTAGTGAGAAAAGTCCCGTCTAGTTCCATTATATAGGAGTATCTCACACCAAAACAATGTAGATTGATAAATAGCACTGCAGGTAAGAGGAAAAAATATTTGATTTTGGGGTGAACTGCCCCTTTAACCATGTCTGATCCTGTGTCCATTGGTATCAGTGTGCAGGTCCAGGACAGATCAGGGCTGATGTTCGCAGTGAAGGTGTCAGGGCCTGCCTGGTGCCGCCCTTAAACCTCTGCATTCATCACCTGTCGTTCCTCTGACTCCCTGACCTCTCTCATATTGGCCTGCCCGCTCCTCTTCTCCTGTGTCCCCCCTTCCACCCCGTCTCTGCGAGGAGGAGAGCGCCAACCCGGAGGACCTGGTGACACCTCTCATGACAGCAGCTGTCAGTCTCTGCTATTAATTACACCATCTGACTGACACCCTCCAAAACCCTTCCCTGGCTTTTATTCACCCTCTGGGAATCTCTACCAGTTACGACAGCAACCACCTCTGGCCCAGACACCACTCTAATCCCCATCATCCGCCCACTGCTTCAAGAGAACAGTGCATTGTAAGTCAAACGCATTCTGAGGTAATGTTTTTGGGATATTGCTGTATATGTTGCACATTGTGGTGCGTTTTAATGGTGAAAGTGTGACTTTTCCAAGGGTTCAGACTAAATCTCCCATGTAAGAAGTCTCCTCGGATGGAAAACTCCACTGATCCCAGCTTTGCCAGATCTCATTTAGATCCACCTGAGGGGGCATCCTGTGACGTGCAATCACAGAGACGGGATGTCTGGGGTGGGGAAGGATTAGAGGAGGCTCCCCCTGGCAGGCTGGGGTTCT